GGGGGGTTCGTAGAGGGGGGCTGCATGCTATTTGCTGTGAGTTTCCGCCGGGGTTTGTCTCGCTCGAGCAACATGTGAGTGAGGGAGGGATGCTGGGGCGTACCGTCCCGTGACCAATAACCTTCTCCTTACTCACGGACGACCCTTGACTGTGACTGTCGGGGGGAGGCCGTCTCCCCGAGGGAGGGAGGGAGGGAGGGGGAGAGAGAGATAGAGAGGGGGAAGGCTCACCGCGCCGCCTTGTCTCTGTCTGCTTCGATTTGTTTTTCTGGTGAATGATTCGTCTGGAGTGAAGCGCCACTTTCGCTGATTGAAGCGGCAAACAAACGTTTATTAATAGGCAGCGGGATGATACGGCGGAGTGGATTACTTGGGGAGGGGAGGAATTCGGAATTTCAAAGCCTCACCCTGCTATGTAGCCTGCGCCGTGGGGGAATGAAAAGTCTACGCACATCACAACATGGAAGTGCCCCATGGTCCAGAGCAGTCGGCGACATGTCTGCAGTGGTTTTCTTTCCCTTATACAGAGTGTCCTTCCTGCTGGAGAGTTTCCTGCAAGTTTTGGCGCGCGCTGGGATCACAAAAGTCCCTGCAAAGACCTCTGCGCCCGGGACTAATTACCATTATTAAGTTTCCGGGCGAACGGATCAAAATAACACCGCGAGCCCTTAATTTTTGCTGCTGGAGTGGAGAATGAACTTACCTCATTTTCCAATTTCACAGCTAAAGGAATCCCCAAGTCTGCCCGGCGCCGGCGCCCGTGCCGCCGCTTCAACCCCGAGCTTACCTTCTCTTTCTCTCTCCCTCCCTCTCAGTCTTTCCCCTGCTGGAGAATCGGCTCGCCTGATATCGCCTTGAATAAGGAGTTTTGGGCGTCATTGAGATGTTATAATGAGCCAACCAACCAGTCTCGACTCTCTTGTGTTGGCGGGGCCGCCGCCCTTGGGTCGCGCTGGATGGGGGCGGAAAGAAAAAGAGGGAGTTATGGGAGAGGGCGGGGGCGGTGGAGGGGAGGCGGCCGAGTCCTAGGCAAGTTGATTCGGAGACGTATGGATTGAAATGAATTGGCTCTAGTGCGCAAGCAAAGGCTCGGACAGGCAGGTCCGGGCTGGGTCTGGGTTAGGGGCGGTCGCTGGCGGCCAGTCATCCTACCAGCCAATCCATAGCCTCAGCAGTTTTTCGACCTCGGTCGTTTTTTGGCCTCAGGTTTTTGGACCTTGTTCTTTAATTACCTTGTATTGTTTCACGGATTGCATTTCTCTCTGTTTGCTTAATATTTATTCCCCATTTTTTTGTCATCCAGGATCCGGCAGGAGATGAACGGCGGCGCGTGGTGCCCCAAGGCGCAGATCTCGAGCGAGGTGCGCGAGTACCTCGAGGTGGACCTGCAGGCCGAGCACCTCGTCACGCGCACCGAGACGCAGGGCCGCTTCGGCAACGGCCAGGGCCAGGAGTACGCCGAGCAGTTTCTGCTCGAGTACTGGCGGCCGGGGCTCAACCGCTGGGTCTCGTACCGTGATCACGGTGGCTACAAGGTGAGCTCTTCTAAAAACAACAACCTTTTTATTCCTGCACTACACTCCCTGAAAGTTCAGCCTCCAAAAATGAAGTAAACTTTTTAGTTGACATACCATATATAAAGTTTCCGGTAAAAAATTGCGTCGATGATTTTTCAGCAGTTAAAAATAACAAGGTGGGCCCGCTCTTCCGCCAAACCAAGTTGCCAGCTCCGCTTCGCTCCACCGGCAACTCGGTTCGGCAGGGAGCGGGCCCAGCTTGGCCTGCCGGCGGCGTTTGGAACGGGCCTTCGGCCCGTCCCTCTGAATTTTCATGGTGTAATACATCTTTTATCCGCAAACGGGCCTTCGGCCCGTTTGAGTGACGGCTCGCGTTGGACCATCTTTTTGCCAGGTACCTTTTCTGTCCACTTCGTAATTAAAATTCAACAAACGAAGTATTCTTTTCATACGCTGAACATCTTTGGCTGTGTGTGTCGTAGTTTGTAGAATACATGCAAGTTATGCCAAATCCCTTCTAAGTTATTGATGTTAGCTTATGAAT